CCTTATCACCAAGGCTCAACAATATTTTAATGTGGGTTTTCTCTATCATGGTCATCTTTTCTTTTTCCGTTAACGCAACATCCATGACTACCTCTCCCTTCAACGCTTCCAAACAACCATGTTGGACCAGTAGGGCTTTCATCTTAAAGCACCACAGACCGAAGTCGTTCACTCCGAGAACTTTTGAATCTCATACTTTGTTGAAGACATCTTCTCCACGCTCACTGCACCAATTTGTTGTGAATTAGGATGTCTTAAAATAAAATATACTCGGTTTCTTTATGATCAAGAAGCACACAACGGTTAAGGTTAAGGAAAAACAAAGAGAACAACAAGAATTAGTTATAACTGATATTTTTTACTTTCTATATAAAATAAATTACAAGTACTAAAAAATAACAAATAACCCGGTCACCCTAATTAGATTTTATCACACCACCACACCTAAGATGAGAGACTAGTATGCTATTTATAATAAAACCTAACATATTAAACTAATGAGCTTTTTAAAAATTATTCATTACAAGTTAACTTAGGATACAAACTAACTTAAACAATTGGATCTTTAACATAAGGTTCAATTCGACAACTACATACTATAACACAATTCAACTACAGTATAAAGGTCTTCGACAACAACATGTGAGAAAACTTCGACGACATGCTAACTAGAGTTCAATTCAATATTTCAGAATTTAAATATTATTGTTGACAAAAAAATATAATTAACAATTTCCTAATATTCCATTGTTAGTTGTTTTAAATTTCTCCATAAAGTTTTGTTAAATGTTATTTAAATTTTGTCATTGTTTGCCATAATTTGGCCTAATTATATTTCTAATTGTGTTGAAGATACATTTTTGCATTCACATTCTGACATTTGTTCCTTAACTTAAAATCTTTTACAAAATAATTCTTAGTATAGAATACCACCTTAAATAAACACAAGCCTCGTACACAATACAAATGGTAAGGATTAAATTTGGTATTAATGACACAACAATACTATATTTGGGCCAAATATAATATAAAAATGATTCTACAAATCAAAATTAAATTTGAATCAAATACATTCAATAGTTTACATTACTATATTCAATTGTACTAGAAGACAAAAACTATGTATAAATTGAAGGAAAGAAAAGCCTTAAACTACGATTTGAAAAAAGTACATAACAAATAAAGAGATAATAGACCAATCTAAATTGCAAAGTGCATAACTAATGATTCCATATTGTAATGGAGTATAAGTTAATCCAACAATATTTAACAAGACCATTTATTTTTCAACTAGAGTGTCAAAAATGTTATGTGAGTTTCCGTTAATGTAAGTGAGCTAAAGAGATGGATGAAAAACATTAAGAATGCAAGGTCACATAAATGTAATTTATAAGAAATAACTTTAAAAATATTAAAGTTATACACGTGTCAAACAAATACTGGAAGTGCGTATATTTGTTTGAAACCACACACTTCAACATTTAGCGGTTGAAATTCCCTCCAAAAGGCGCACGTTAGCTAGCTACCTACACGACGATTTCCGATCATGGCTTCCACACCGTCGCCACCAATGTCAGTGAACCCCGGTCGCATTCGAACCTTGAAAGAAGGTTCTGGAAAACCTGGCCCCGTCGTGTACTGGATGTTCAGAGATCAACGATTGAAAGACAACTGGGCTCTCATCCACGCCGTTCATCAAGCCAACAAATCCAACGTTCCTGTAGCCATTGTTTTCAATCTCTTCAACAGCTTTATTGGCGCAAAGTCTCGTCATTTTGGGTTTATGCTCAGGGGTTTGCGCCAATTGTGCCACCAACTTCAACACACTCTTCAAATACCCTTTTTCTTGTTTCAGGTTTAGTTTAGCTCTATTTTACTCTTTCTTAATTTAATTCAAAGTTCAAAATTTTAAGCTTTTTTTCATGTCTTAATATTATAGGGTGAAGCGGAGGAAACTGTATCGAAATTTGTTAGAGAATGTGGAGCTTCCCTTTTGGTGACAGATATGTCACCTTTAAGAGAATTGAAGAAATGCAAAGCTGAGATTTGTAAGAGGGTTGGCGATTTGGTTACTATTCATGAAGTTGATGCTCACAACGTTGTGCCTCTTTGGGTAGCTTCTGAGAAATTGGAGTATAGTGCTAGGACATTAAGGGGGAAGATTAACAAAAAGCTTCCTGAATATCTTGTTGAATTTCCCATCATTGAACCACCAGCTACGAAATGGGTCAATCTCAATACTGAGGATCATACGATAGACTGGGATGATATCATTGCTCAAGTACTAAGGTTTGATATACTTGAGTTATGAGTGCTTAATCATGTGTTATGTAGCACTAACACTGTATATTGAAGGCATGTTCGGTGTCCAGCGCCATTTTGTTATATTCAATCACTTTTATCTCTTGAATTATCATAGGAGTCCTTGTCTTTGTGGTGTCTGATGTTTGGTGTCTGTGTCTGCGTTTTGTTCATGTGGTTATATATGCTGATGTCTTTTTCTTTCCTAAATTAGGAATGGAGCTGAGGTTCCTGAAGTTAGTTGGTGTGAGCCTGGAGAAATTGCTGCTATGGAAGTATTGATGGGAAATAAGAATGGATTCTTGACTAAAAGGTTGAGAAGTTATTCAACCGATCGCAATAACCCTTGTAAACCAACTGCACTTTCTGGTTTATCTCCTTATTTGCATTTTGGAAATATATCTGCTCAAAGATGTGCTTTAGAAGCTCGTAAATTAAGAGCTTCACATCCTCAGGTTTGTTAACTTGATTTATATGCTGTTTCTCTTGCTTAATTTTGTTTTCCCCTAATGAAACGGTGGTTAAAAATCTTATCTTGGACTTAGCTTTTTCTGCTCTTTGATTTTGGTGTTTAGGCTGTCGATACTTTCCTGGAGGAGTTGATTGTGAGGCGAGAACTTGCTGATAACTTTTGCTTCTATCAACCTCATTATGATTCACTAAAAGGAGCATGGGAGTGGGCTCGTAAGACCTTACTCGATCATGCCTCAGATAAGAGAGAACACGTTTACACGTGAGTTACATGTTTTTTGTTTGTTCTTTAGCTCTAAGTTTACTTGTAAGCTCATTTGGTTTTTGTTTTTACAGGAGGGAACAGTTGGAGAAAGCTAAAACTGCTGATCCTGTAAGTTAATCTTTCACGGATAATAGTAACAATATTTTCTCACACCTAAACTACATGGCTCTCGATCTTAAAATTTATAAAGCCTCAATATTAATGCCTTTCATATTTTTTGGGGGGCAAATATCAGCTCTGGAATGCTTCCCAACTGGAGATGGTTCACTATGGGAAAATGCATGGTTTTATGAGGTAAGTAACTTCCTGATAAGTTATTATCTTCTCTTTGTTGCTTTCTGAAGTCTTGTAAAACACGTTATTTCGCTTACAGTTTAACTTGGTCTTCATAGGATCTCTTTCTCTAATGGTTGCAGCTTATAAATGTTATCTCAATTAGAAATTTTCTTGTACAGAATGTATTGGGCGAAGAAGATTCTTGAATGGACAAAAGGACCCGAAGAAGCACTTGAGATATGCATATATTTAAATGATAAGGTATATACACTAACCCTTAGTCAAGATAGAGAAGCAATCTAATTATAAATTCAGTTTTCATGAGATGAAGATTATAACCATATGAGTAAATGACAACAATTTCACCTGATTGCAGTATGAAATGGATGGGAGGGACCCAAGTGGTTATGTTGGCTGCATGTGGTCTATATGTGGAGTGCATGATCAGGTTCACTTCATTCTTGTTTGCTACACAATTTTTAGATTGAATGCTGAGAAAGAAAGAACTTAAGTTTTTTTTTTGTTGTCTGAAGTGCTTTTGATGCCTCTAGCTAGGCTGTGGTAGCTCCATTTTATGTGGAACTGGTTTGGATTTTCCTTCTATTTTTATTACAACCTAATGAATTGTACAGCTTGGAATTTATGTTGAATTGGTTTGGATTTTGCTTTTGTTGCAAGAGATTATATAAATTCAAACAGAAGTATATATTTTCTATAAGATTTCTCAATTTTTGGCATGTGTTTCTGTTCATTTCAGGGTTGGCAAGAGCGTCCCATTTTCGGGAAAATTCGATACATGAATTATGCAGGGTGCAAAAGAAAATTTGATGTTGACAAATACATTGCATATGTTAATAAATTAGTTGGTGAGCTCAGGAAGAGAAAGGCGGAAAATCTGCTATCTGAGAAGGAGAAAGTACTCCGTTGTTCTAATCCTGAGGATTGAAGCATATGTCCTTTCTAATAGGCGTCATTTTTTGTTTAGGCAAAGTAGCCTGGTAATTTGCCATTGTTTGGCTGCTGATATTTGAAATAGGAATAGGACTGTGTTTTGTTTTGGTTGTAGTTCAACGATGAAACTGAGATTTATTGTATTCCAACCTGAAAAAGTTGGCCACATTGATATTAAATGATACAAAACTATCAGGATTTTTTTCTACAGTATTACATGTTTCCTTTGTCCTGGGAGTGGCGAAGCTGTGTAACTTAGTGACATTGTTTAGCAAGTAAATATAAGTTAGTTTTTGAGGCAAGAGTTATATTTTTATGCTTAACTTTTAAACAAGTTGTATTTTTATGCTTAACTTTTAAACAAGTTATATTTTTATGCTTAACTTTTAAACAATTATCAAATGTCCTTGTTTTTTCAAGTACGTTTTAGAAAACATTTATTGAACAGAAGTTTCAGTTTCATACTCCTGCAGTTTATAGAGTATATCTTTTGAAGTATTAGTTTTGCTAGTTCAATTTTCGGCTCCAAGTGAGTCGATTAATTCCTGGAAAACTACATAAATTATTCTGGTTAGTAACCAATGAAGATATCCTAGCGCATGCAAAATCTGTCATCAAGTGACCCAGGTTGAAGTACAAGGAGTTAACTATATAAATCCTCTGCTAAGAATGAGATGTATAAATTACAACAAATATTTTACAAGTAAGCAGAAGATCAACTTTGACTTCTGTAACATCATATCTGGATATCATCTAGCGTAAGTTCGTGTGTTGTTAGCATCTTCAATTTCTGCAAAACAAGAAAAATTGAAGGCAATGGTGGTTAAGTCAAAATTGTTGCAGGTTAAAAGCTTAATAAAGCACACATATGGCACTGAAAAAGTTAGAAATTCCAATACCGAGATAAATTGTGCAGGATCATCAAGACTTGTTGAACCTAGAATAATTTCCCTATTCAGCTTTCTAGTAAGTTTGTGGCAAACCCTTAGCTGAAGATTGAAGCATTGTATAAGAAGAAAAATAAAATAAAGAAAATTGAAAGACGAAATTTACAATCTCAACACATTGAAAGAATTTTCAAACCTCTGATCGGGTTGCACCACCGATAATAAATACAAATATTTGACTCCCTATCTTCCTTGAATCACTAGAAGAATGTCTAAGCACCGAATCACTGCATGCCAGCCAGCAAGAAAATATAAAAACTGTTTGCAGACTATGGGAGAGTATTCAAACACTATCCATGTAAAAAAATTACATATACATCAAATCATATCTCATCATGTATATATCTATCTATCAAAATACGTTAGGAAGTAATCTATCAAAGTGAAAAAGTAAAATATTTCCAAGGATTTAGTGGTTATAATTGATTGATGTGTAAAAAACATTTACACTGATCATGAATCTAAGTTAAATTCTATTAGTAAAGTCTTAACAACTTGTGCAGGGGTATATTTCGCAAACAAGTAGCTGTATAGTGAAAGAAAAAACTGATCCCATCAAAAGCAATTGTTAGATTACTTATTAGTTCTGAAGTGTAAAGAAAATAATACCTTGAGTACCCATCATCAGAACCTCGTGGTCGTGCCCAAGTTGGTGTGCGTCTTGATCTCATTGAATGAGGATTTTGATGTACGGTCCCAGAAAAAGATGAGCCATGGAAAGTTGCACTTGGATCATTCAAACATGGATAATCTTCCTTAGACAGTTGATTTCTCGTGAGTTTTTCAATGAGTTCCTGAATATTCATCCACTCTAAAGCTAAAGAACTTTTGAGGCTAAATATGCAATCATAAATATATTCTTCCAATAAATTAACATAAAACTGTTCGTATGAAAAAATGAAGTTGGCCTTCATTTGCTTGATATTTCAATGATACTAAAAGACAATATTTAATAACTGTCTGCTTTTAAACATATTTTCAGAGAGAATCATAGTCGTTGGATTTTTATTCTAATGCTATCTTCTCGGTGAAACTTCATAAGTGAGTACATATTTCATGTGGGGAAACCATATCAAGTATTAATTAAGTTAATTTGTACCTCTATTATGGGATAAAACCGTGATAACTGCCATTTCTCTTCTTCCCCTGGACGTTCTTTCCTTGCAGCACGCTTCTTCTGTTAAAAGAATTTTTCAGAAATAATGTAAAACTTAAAGAATTAATATATTTAAAACTACAAATTACTGTTACCTTATGGATTTCAAACTTAAGGCCAAAAGCACCCGTCGAACGTTTTTTGGTATCCGGTTGAACCCCAAGCATTCTCAAATTATTCACAACATTCATATCCTCATCTGTTAAACGTGCTATCTGAAAAGTACTTGAAACGTAAAAATTGGATAACAGGTGTTAGGAATCATAGAAAGATATTATTCTTCAAAATGAGCAGAAAGCAGAAACCATACCTTCATCAAATTCAGACCCTTTTCTCCGTCGAATTTCTCAGGATAAACAGCTGCAAGAATCATTAACAAGCGCAATTTATTTTCACGGGTTGTATCCTGCGTAAAAGTGGGTATGGGTATGAAATTTAAAATATAAGAAATAGTGCAAAGCTTGCGTGTCTAATTTCAAAATCCGTGTCTTCACTAAAAAGTTTTCATTTTAGCATGTTCACTAACTAGGGGTTAAAGCCCACTGTTTCCTTTCCCACATTAAGAATATCTTACTTCTTTCGTAGTCAAAAATTTGATCACATCTTTCATTGTTGCATCTCCAAAAACAAGATCTTGCTCCAGCTGGCCCAGATCCCGCAGCCCTGACTCCCTGATGATTCTGTTAATGTTTCCTGCAAGCTGGATCAAAGAAGCCCATTATTTATAAAGCAATCTCAATCCACACACATGATTTTAAATAAATTAATCACCAAGACCTTTTAAAATATAAGATTTTAAAATAGGACTGTGTCGTTTGAAACAACAGCAAGTCCCTATAGTTGCAAAAGAATTTTTAACCGGTCCTGTAAACCAGTAAGATCAAACAAATCGATAGAGTGGATTTAGGGACCCCAATGAATTTTAGTTTTTCTTTTTTAACTATGGGACCCATTTATACTTTTTTAAACTGTGGACTAGAAAGTTTAATTTAACATCATTATATTCATAACAGCCAATTATACTCTCTTTTTTTGCAGGGCAAATCTTATGTTGTTGGTGGGGATAAAATCCTCAATCACTCCACTTGTGCACTCCTCCACCCCAACCACCAAGTTAATCTTATATCCCATAATTATACTCTAATCTTATTTATGAAAAAGTACTAAGGTAGCACTTGACATGTGGAGAAAATTGAACAGTTCCTTTCCCTTGGATTTGTTTTGCTCTTATATCCCATATTTTATAAGTTCTAAACTGTCTACCTAATGCCATCTAACATTCAGGAATGTCTAAAACACTTGGGCGCAGAAGTTCATTAACTCTGTCATCCATCAGTGAGAATCATTTCATGATGGAACCAACAATATTAAGTGGGATAACAGATAGCATCTACAAGAAGAGAAATTGCCCAATGAGGCAATAAAAGACGTGGCATTACCATAAATTAGATTTTTCCTCTGAGGACAAATGAAAACTGTTGAAAAGGCCTCTTTCTCAAAACGTAGTTAGCACACGTATTTGTCCAAACCATATTGTGTTATCATTATAAGAAAGAAATAGTTTTATCTAGATAGTATTACAACAAAACGAACCTCTACATGGAGGGAGAGTTTGTCCATTTGTTCACTGTATTGTGGAAGTGCTTGAACCATCTTCTGTAAGTCCCTTGTTGACATATCACCGCTACTTCTATAAATACAATACAAATGGATAGTCTAAGTGAAGCTTATTATTAGCTAGATAAATAAATATTTCCATTAAACCACAAACCCAAGCTTCCATAAATTATGAAAGGGCAAAATATTCACAACATATATAGTTTGAAAATGTTGAAATTATGTGTTTTATTTATTATTATTGAAAATAACTTGGTACAGAAGACTAAACATTAATCCATATTTATCGGGATATGGAGATTCAATCCTAAATAAATAGAGAAATCAATAACACATCATAATAAAATATTAAGTAATATAAAAACTAATCTTAAAATAATCTAATATACTCTAAGATTATAAACTGATTTTAAGAACTAAACTAAGATAATATCGAAGATATTATAAGATTTTATTTTTATATTCTAACTAAGCAGAATAAAAATTGTCCAATGGAACAAATATCAATACTTCGCCATCTATGATCTGCTCCCTTATCACATCTCTATGGCACAGACTACAAGGAAATATAGTCAAAGTCTTCTCACAGATAACTAGCCATAGCAAAATGGATGGAAAAACTCAAGGTGATTGTTAGATAATGGAATACACCACAGGGTGGCAAAACATCAACTTTTACACCACAGTAGGGAATGAATTCATGTCAAACCATAGGGTGCGTCAAACCATACCATTTTTAGATAAATAAAAAATAGGAAGATATTTAATTTCTGATAATGACTAAACCGTTACATTAGTTTGTTCACCATCACCTTGAACCATGTTGAATTTGTGCAGCTTTGTTTTTTGAAATGAAGCCAGTCATCTTCTCATGCAGCCGTTCACTAGCCTGACATGGTCATCAATATCAAAAGGTATTCATGTTGCTAAAGTCTAAAAGATAGTAAAAGCATAAAAGCAGGCATACATCAGCAATATGTGCATGGCGAAGCTCGAGCCATATAGGATCATGATCCTCCAAAAGAACTTCTTTTTTCTCGGGTAGACCTCCGGACTTGCCAGGAACCTTAAAAATACATTACAGTATATTCATGTTTATATACAAGAGACTGGACCCAAAAATTCAGAGAAGGAAAGGAAAGCTGTTGAAGTTACTTCGTGAACATATTTATTTCCCTCCATATTCAGTAAATCATGACACATGGCATCATATGTCCACTCATGAATTACTGGAGCAATCTGCAAAATCATAATATCTTCATTGTAAGCGACATTACAGTCTAATAAAATACTATTACAAGTAAATGACCAACAAATGACAAAAGAAACCTGATCAATTGATCTGTCAATAATGAGCAACTCGCAGGTCTCAGTCTGAGGAAAATTAGGTATAGTTTTTTTATATTTCATAAGACAGTCCCAGACTCCAGCAGCAAGCTTTGTAGGAATAAGATCACGGAGAGTAGTCACTGTGGTTGCGTCTAGGGACTTGGCAGCACGAAAGCGAACAGAAGGAAATTCCTAAAAGAATATTACATGCTTCAGAAAACTTCTCAATCATCTGTTTAACAATAATAAGGCATTGAGTACATTATTTTAGTATTCTTGTTACAAAGAGCATTATCTGCATACTCTCAATGAAGCAAATACTGTAGCAATTCGTGTTGCCATCGCATTCAAACATGCAACACTTTTACGACTATTCTCTTCATCCCCAAATAGCTCCTCTAATGCTCTCTCATTATTTGTGATGAAACCCTGCATTCATGACCAAAAACACACCTCAAGTTGAAGACACAGTAATGCTCTCTCAAGTTAAATAAAAGATAGTTAGCAAAGCAGAACTTTGTGACCAACTGTGCTGAGTCAGCACATTTGCAACATATTGAATAATTGACTCATTTTAGTACAGCTCCCTATATTTAGCTTCATGGAAGCCATTGTGACTAATCAATTCATTTCTATATAAATACAACATTCAGTTTATCCTTGTCTGAGTTTGTGAAAATGAATTCTTCATCTTCTTCAAGTTTCTAATAGAAGTTAGAACTGAGTTGAAATTTCCGCCTTCACTACGGTTCTCCCCTAGTCACCTAATAGAGGCATTTGGCTTGTCTTCATTGCAGTCTCTAACACCTTCATTGTGTTGGGTTTGAAGGGGTGAATTTAGTCCCGCATTGCTTAGAGATATGGCATGTATTGTGTTTATAAGTGGGGGCAATTCTCACTTTACAAGCCGGTTTTGTAGGGATGAGTTAGTCCCAACCCAAATTCTGAGAAACTGGACCAGCACATAGAGAACTTCTACATGTTGTAAGTTTTTAAATTTATTAACAACCAAAAAGGAATAAAATTAACTATAGTCATAATGAACAAAGGTATTATATGACGGATGAAAAGTATACAACGATATACCTGACTATCTATGGCAAAATACTCCAAATTCATCTGCATGGCGTCATCCAAATAAGGGGGAAAATCATAATAGGCCATGAAATAGTTCGAGTAAACATATGAATTTAAGCACAATCTTGTTTCTAATTAATAAAATATCGTCACCTCTCTCAATGCACCTAATCGAGACAACACCCTTGGATCTTTCTTTATCTCCACAACTAATTCTCTAGAAATAGATGAGCTAAAGAAAACAAATGCCCTACAAGAAAACAGTAAGGAAAAAAAAGCTTAAAAACAAATAGGTTGAAGCCGGGATGAATGGCATACATAAGACACTATAACAGTCACCACATACTTCCTGTATAAGGGAGCCTTTCCAGCCATGTCTGACAAAAACATGATTATGCTGCAAACAAAATGAAGAGAATCACTAAATAAGGATGAATTTGAAAACTCGAAAATTTAAGTTGACTACGTTCTATACAAAAGCTAAATGAAAAAAATATTACAGCCAAATGTAAATGGCATATTTATCATTCAGTGATTTGCGTTAAAAATGAATAATCATGAGAGATATAGAAACGAAGTAATGTATTATCACATTGTTTATAGAGAATAGAAAGGAAGGTTCAAAACCAAAAATGATAAAATTAAAAAGAAAGACATACTTGGAAGGAAACATGAGGGGGGAAATAAAAGGTAAAGTAAACGGCAGAAAATACAAGAGAATAATGGACAATGTTGGAACAAGTTATACCCTTTAATATTCAAAACCTACAAAAATGACTTTATACTTTTATTTGAAACAAAGAGACAGCAAATTATAAGTTCTAAAATGTTATGTAAACTATGTGTTCATTGATACATTACTCGCATACTTGACAGATTAACTGCAGAACAATGGGAACAAAAAAGAAAACTAGATGTGTTACTTCTCTCTTGATGGCTGAATGAAATATATAGCATCCATTGTTGGTAATGGTTGCCTCCGTTTGTATATGTCTTCGACCACTGCAAAAAGAGCACCAAAATATCAAACCATAAAGGAAATAAAACTAAAAAAATAGATGGCCAACAAATGAGGATCCAACCATTTTGATGGTAAGAGAGGGCCAGAAACTTCAATGCTAATAAAACCTTACAAATAGAAGTGTTAATTAACTGATACAATACATCAGAAATTGCAATTTTCAAACTGAAATTTTTTTGAATAACTTCGTTATTATTTTTTGTTTGCCAATATATCTTTCTAGTTTTTTGCTACTTAAATAAATTTTTACAGTCTGTTTTCTTCATGTCCTTAATCTCTAAGTTACATTTTATTTTCAATGTTGTTTATAAAAGCAGGTAAAATATCAATAACAAAGCCAAAACCAATTGACAATAAAACACGGGTAACTTAAAATGTTGCTGTTGACATTGTGTATATCGTTTTTTAGTAACCCTAGCGAACAAAACAGATTTTGAATGAGGCTTATTCTTGCTTCTAAATCTAAATCTAAAATGAGCTATATTTACTGCCACCTAATACAACAACAACCCAGCCTTATCTCACCAAATGGGTCTTGCTACACGATCAAACAGCGCCATAATATTCTATCAAATACCATACATCTATCCAACTCATTAATCTTGAGATCTTTCTTAATAGTTTCTCTTATAGTTTTTCTAGATCTTCCTCCACCTCTAGTAGTTTGACTATCCTCCATCTAATGTACTCTCCTTATTACGAAATTCATAGGTCCTCTCTCTACTCGCCCAAACCACCTAAGTCTAATTTGCACCGTCTTTTCTACTATAGGTGCTACTACCCCAATTATATATCTCTCTAATGTTGTCGTTTCTAATTCAATCCCGTATAATCTTACCACACATCCAACACAACAACATTCTTACCTCTACTACAGCTACACAATTTATTTCCGTGTTGGTTCTTTACAGACTAACATTTTGTCCAATACAACATTGCCGGTCTTACGGCTGTCCAATAAAAAATTTCCTTCAGTTTGAGTGGTACCTTCATATCACATAGAACACCTAATACCCACAAGAAAATAAAAACTCAAACTAATTTAAATAGAAGACATTACAAAACTAATTGGATGGAAATACAATAAAATTGACGGGATCATATTAGATAACCTTCTACAAAACTAACCAAATTTTATTTGTAAACACTCAATCACTTAAGCTGACAGCCTATTTCTGCCAATAGAACCAATGACAACAATACAAGTCAGAAACCTCACACTGTGCATTGGCTCACCCTATACAAGCAATAAACCTAACTTTACAAAATCCAGACTAAATATTTTTTACATATTAATTGAATAAAAGGGAGACTTGAGACCATAGTTGGACCTGTCTTGTTGTGACTAAGTTCAAATAGTAGAACCAGTCACTTGTAAATGTAGGGCGGAAGACTATTTATAATAGATCCATAATAGGTCTAACCCTTCTCTAGACCCAGTATGGGGGAGCCCTGCTGCAAATATATTACTTGAATCCATATTGATGATTGAGAAACCATTTGTATTGAAGGAACAATTAGACTAATAAACTGCTAATTTAACAAGGAAACTTGATTAGCACAATCACAAACTGGTCATTTACGTTTGTATGATTCTTACATGAAACACCTTCGTCGGTGATATCAGCCATTTTGCATGAGTGAGACATTATCTTCACAGTAAGTTTATCCATTATGAGTACCTACAGATAAGCAATTCATGAACCAGCATAAGATTGTAATCAATAGACGAAGTCCTTTTTGTTTCTTTACCTTCAACACATCACTCAAATTAAGTTTAGACTTAGGCTAGCTGTATGCAACAAACATACATGCATATCTACCATCTACCCCAACCAGTATTCAACATGCATAAACCAGTCCATAGTGCATATTAGTAAACATATTTAGAAACAAAAAAGATTATGAAGATTGCAATAAATAAAACAAGTAATTACTAAGCGTGAATTATATATTTATCGGTGAACTACAGACATTGGATGAAACAAACAGATCGATAAGTTATTCAAACTCTCTATACCCTATGAAGCACGGCCACAAACACACTAATCACAAGTGTTGGCAAACACCCTGACGGACATGGACACTCTTTTTTTCAGAGGTGTAAGTGCTAGAGAGTTTATATCTGACAGAATGCATTTAAATAATTGCATCACATACCTTCCAAGTTGATTTGGAATCCCCTGCTTTTGTTGACCGGATCATTTCACGTAATAATCCTGAAGACAATACATTGAATGAACTTACTCAAAGAAAAATCAGAAAGGTTACAGTATTGAAAAATACCATAATTCCAAAATTAACTTCATCAATAATAATAATAATAATAATAATAATAATAATAATAATAATAATAATAATAATAATAATAATAATAATAATAATAATAATAATAATAATAATAATAATAATAATAATAATAATAATAATAATAATAATAATCTGAAACTTGCTTGAATGAGTATTCATTATTCAAACACAAACGAGACTATCAAGATTAATTGATCCCATTAGAGAAAAACAATCCTTAAAAATTTCCCCATTCCGCTCAAAGCATTAGCACCAAAAATCACAGTCAAAACTGTAACGATTTATATCGAAAGTTGCAAGTGTAATTCATAAAGCAGTACGAATAAGGAAACAGACGAAGTTACAAGTACAAAAGCGGTTGAGTAAGTTGAAAACTGTAACAACGAAATGGATCATGAATTGAATTAACGAAATTGGGAGGAGAGGGTTTACGGTCGCGGGTAATTTGCTTTAAATTCTGGTAATCGGCGCCACCGTAAGAGGAGGAGGAGGAATCAGAATCGTACATAGACATGTTGCTGTTCTGTGCTTTCTTGCTTTCACGCAGAATCGCGTTTATCACAAGCGAATACGAAATTGCTTCTTCCAAGTTTAATTTAATTATTTCATTTGAAATTGGGGAATATTGAAAATGGCGAAGGATTAATTTATTTGTTTAGTGTAAATTAAAATAGCAGTCAAATAAAACTTTATTGATCATGATTGATGACGTGTTGAATTGTCTATCGTCCTACGTTCTGTTGATGGGATTGAAGGAGCACCAAATAGGAAATGTTCGGGTCGGGTCGGAGCAATAAAGTGTCATTAAGATTCAGACTGGAGTGGACCGTTGAATAACGGCCGGATAAATAACCGAATACTCTTATGTTTAATCTTGACACCCCTAATTATCTATAAAATGGCTATATTATTTTTAATAATGTGAGATGAAAATAAAATAAAATTAGTACCTTCAGATTTTGGTTGCGTCAATACTTTTCGAATAAATAAATTTAAAATTAGAATAATATAAAAATATAATATGATATTTAATAGGAGTGTCAAGAACACGATTTTTTTAAACACTTTTTTAAACAATCATTCTTTTATTGAATGAAATATATGGGAGTTTCTTATTTTGAAAATGAATTTTTCATGAAGTTGTAGGACTCATATGTTTTTCATCCAATAAAAAAATGTGTTAAAAGAGAGTGATAAAAAGAGTGTTTTTAACCTTCTTCGATATTTGATATTATTATTTCATTGAATGAACATATGAACACTTAAAAGTGAACGTTGATATTGTTTTATGTTACCCTTGCATACTTTTAAACCATTATATATTTTGAGTGTAATCTCACGCCTTTGTTGTTTGTGTGCTTCTATACTCCTTTTTGGGATATAGACGAGCAGGTAAATGAGTATCTGTTTAGAAGCTGAAGGATGGTGTTGAGGTTATTCTTCTTTTCCTATTTTATAATATATTTAGATTTCGTTACTCTAATTTGTAACACTGGCCGGACGAATGTTATGTTTTATTGTTTGTTATTATTTTTTAATGTTGTTGTTGCGAGAGTTAGATATTATAACTCGTCATGTTATGCGTTGTTTGATGTTGAATGTATTTTGCCATAACCAAGTTTTATGTTTAAAAATAAGAGTTATTATGAGACTTAATTAATTGTTGAGTTGTTTATATGATTAATTTCGCTCTAATGAGCCTATGTGAAAGCGAGCATGTGATGACAAATGTTTATGTTATTAGTTGTTATATTTAACCCGAGTTACAAAACATGTTTATGTTGTGTTTGCGTGACACTTTATGTGTATAGTTGTGTAAATTTGTATTATTATGCGTTGGGGTTTTAGGGTATTATAGTGTGGATCTTTTGAAGTAAAGTTAAATTGAGGTAATTGCTATTTCCTAACCTTCATAGAAGGATTCTTTAGATATATGTGGATTTATCTTATTGAAAAAAAAGTGAGGTATTCACACAGTTCAAGAAGTTTAAGTTGCATGTCGAGAAACAAAGTGGATGCAAGTTAAAGAAACTAAGAACTGATGGTGGAGGTGAATACACCTCTAGAGAATTTGCAATATTTTTCAATGAGGAAGGTATAAAGCATGAGACCATTGCACTATATATACCTCAAAACAATGGTATAACTGAGAGGAGAAATAGAAGTATATTGAACATCACATGGAGTATGTTGAAAGCTAAAGAAGTGTCAAATAGATTTTGGGGTGAAGTAGTTACGACAACAATATACATTCTAAACAGATGTCTAACTAAGAACATAGTCGAGAAGACACACTGTGAGGATTGGACAGGGCTGAAGCTAAATATTAGTCATCTTAGAGTATTTGGATCAATGTGTTTCAAGCGTGTACCTTAGCAATTGGGGAATAAGCTAGAGGATCAGAGTCAAACCATGATGCTCATAGGTTATCATTAAACTAGTGCATACAAATTGTATTCACCAAATGATGATAAACTAGTGATCAGTAGGGATGTTCTGGTGGACGCAAGCAAATAGTGGAATTGGAATCAGGAGTCTGTTCGACATGAGCAAGATACAATCACAAATGTGCTTGAAGAAGACCAATAAACTGAAGCCACAACCTTTCAAAATGAAGAATTACTTGAGCAAAATGTTTGAAGATCTACTAGAATGAGAACTTAGCCGACAAGGCTAGTTTAATATGATAGATTTTCAAATCAAGCAATTGATGTAGGTGGTGACTTCATAAAAAAATGATGATGACGACTCAATAAGAGCTAATTGATTTGAATCAAGCCATGAATGATTCAAAATAGTTGGCATCCATGCAAGAAGAACCTAGGGAAATCTAGAAGAACAAGAAATGAGAGCTTGTAGAAAAGTCAATCAAAAATCCAATTGATGCGAACTAAGTCTACAAGTTGAAACTAAGGCCAAATAGTAAATTTTTCAATCACGGGGCAAGACTGACAACGAGAGCTTTTATATAAAAACCTTGTATTGACTTCGACGAAGTCTATGCACCTGTTTCAAGACTGAAAACTAACAGAATTATTGTGTTGACCGCAACATACAAAGGATGTAAGATACATAAATTAGATGTAAATTCAACATTTATGAATGAACCATTGGAAGAAGAGGTCTATGTTTATCAACCACCAGGATTCAAAATCAAAGGACAGGAACAGAAGATGTAAATATTGAGGAAGACTCTATATGGTTTGAAGCAAACCACAAAAAGCTTGGAACAAAAGAATAGATGACTTCCTTATCAAGACATGTTTAAACAATGTGCTTCAGAGCATGAATGTATGTCAACAATTCAAGCAGACTCAATCGAGTCATTATATGCTTGTATGTGGGTGACTTGCTGATTATAAATGCAGACAAAGTAGAAATAAAAATGGAAAAGTTGGAACTGATGTAAAAATAAAAAGGGTCAAGTTAGAACTGATTATAAATGCAGACAAAGTAGAAATAGAAAAGGTAAAGTTATAATCAAACAATTTTACTTACCTTTTCTCTTTAAAGTTTTTGACTTCAAAGACATAAAAAAAACATCTGATTTTTCCATGATGAATTGTACCTAAGTGTGTAACACCTTTCTAAACCCCGTGATATATATATATATATATATATATATATATATATATATATATATATATATATATATATATATATATATATATATATATATATATATATATATATATATATATATTATCAGAGTAAATCATCATGCATTCACGAAAGAGTGTCACACATAATTTTCAAAACATCAAAAACCACATGTCATACTCATTAACACTTTAATAAATAATCATACTTTTCAAGGTTTCACTTCGCATGTAGCAGCGGATTCAATTTATATCATAATTCTCGTAACGGAAACATTCATGTTCATCACATAAGTCAACATTACTTGGGCACAAAGGCCAACATCATAATATTCTGATGAATATAAAAATATAGCGTAGAGTACATAATGTATCTCTAAGACATAAACCAAGCGATCCCAGTGTTACATGACCAGAGCACGACTCGACCCAACATAATTAAAATACTAAACAGCTGCACCAACAGCGACCTCGCAACTACAAGCAGTTATGCTCCTTTATACCTGTGTGATGTTGTATAAAACATCATTCCAACAGAAGGGTGAGAATTCACATAAATATTGAAATCATAAGATAATGAATAATGTAAAGCATGTCGACACCAACACCAATATTCTCACTCTTCAACTTTTCTCAGCCAATATCATTCAACAACCACACATTCACAACCCTCAATTCAATAAGTAATACACATACGCATACTTTCATACAACAATTATACATGCCATGCGACTCGATGCAAACTCAATGCAACTCATGCCATGTGGTACCGACACTTGTTATTTTTTTTCGGTTTTTACATTTAAACCGGGTCCGTCCCCTAGACCAATAACAACCAAAAGCCCGTCCCCTAGGATTTCAAACCCCACTCTAGGTTTGGGACAAGTCACTAGTCTCCACGAAACTAGCAAGCATTGCCTCTTGACAACAAATGATGCATATGCAATCAACAACCATATGCACGTAAGACCATTCTCGCATCTTAATCCCATGCATTCTCAAATAATTCATCACACAAGAATTATAACATGATTACACATACAACACATTTCATAATAATCAAAGTATTCATACTTTCAACATCATCACTATATTTATCAAGTAATGCACAGGAACCAATTAGATTCAATCACAATTTACAACACAGTTCAATGATTACACGTAGGACAATCAATCCATCACCAATAACTGAATTCAATATTCAATACACAATCAGCTTGTTAAACAACAATTGATATCTCAATAACCAACCAAAGGTTGATAATCAATCAATACTCAAGTAAATAATTAATAATCATTTCAATTAATTCATGTTTTAGTTAAGATTTAATTAAACAATGACTCAGTGTAATCAAACTTCCAGTACATGACTTTTCCAAATTTCTGCTATTGTACAACATGCAATCGATTGGAGTTATTGTGCAATCGATTGTATGACTCAATTTCTCATATTTTTAGCTACTATTTTTAAGTGCAATCGATTGACATCTTAGTGCAATCGATTGTACCTTTGAAAATTTCATCATTTTAGCTACTGTTTTGTTGTGCAATCGATTGGCATCTTAGTGCAATCGATTGCTCAGTTCAAAAATTCAATTTCTAGCAGCTTTGCTAAGTGTGCAACCGATTGTAGCCTTAGTGCAATCGATTGCTCACTGTGTGTTTTTGAAAAATTAATCAGAAACTTGTATTTTCACCAACCATTCCCTTCTTTGCTACAGTAATCGATCCCCTCATATTAGGTCATTCATAAAAATCGAAAATTCACTAAATCATGGGAAATCTAAGGGTTTTTCCCTACAAAAACTTCTACCCATTAATCATTAACCCACAATCCCAACAATGAGAGAATACCCACCCTTACCTTAGGTTTTTCTTTGGGAAGAACCCTTGATTCCTTGAATGCTTGAATTCT